AACTTGATCAAGGGGCAATTACAAAACTCGGCTCGGCCCACTGATGATCTATGGTGCTTTAGCCTTCCAGCGCTTCGCTCTATCATCTCTGCCAACATTATTTAGTGACTCCGCTCGCTGGAACTTTGCCAGACGCGCTGGGTAGCGCTGCCCAGTGTCTGGCGGCTGGATCACGAGGCCACGGGGGTGATGGGTGGGAGGATTGGACTTGGTTGGGCGTTTGTTGGTAATTGCCTAGATACAGCTCAGAGGGCGCGATTGAGGCCAGGATAGTGGGGAGGGACGAAGCTGCTGGTTAGGAGTTCAGGATGATAAACGGTGATAGTAGTTGGAGGTGATGGGTGTCCCGATGCAGCTCTGGAGGCAGGGGTTAGGGACAGGATACAGGATAGAAAGAAGGGTGCTACTCAGGAATTCGAAGCAAGATGTGCAGATAGCAGTAAAGAGGAAAATAAACCAACACAGCACTACAAACAAAAGTAAATTAAACCTGAATTTGTGAATAAAAGGAATTCATTTACTGAAACCTAAGCTTAGGTGAAGCTGACGGCAAATAAGTTCGAAAGGATTTACTGAAGCTTATGCTTAGGTGAAGCTGAGAACAAATAAGTCCAGCTGTAGTACACAAGAACTGCAGAAATTTCCGGAGTGACTTTCGAATCGGGAACCACGGAAGCTAGGAAGCTAAAAATTTAGGGTAACGTTCCCCACCCACGTGTGAGCCCGCAAATTTAAAATCAGCCTCCCCTTACCTGCGCGTAACACGTACAGCCCTGTAAAAGTTTTGGCGAGCAAAATTGTTACCACAGGAACCATGGAAGCTAGAAGGCTGAAATTTTGTGGGCACGTCCCTTGCCCACATGCTACCCAGAAAATTTAAACTCAGCCTTCTCCTGTTCGTGGGTAACACGAATGGCCGTGAAAATTTTGATGGGTGAATTATTATCTCGGGGACCACGGAATCGAGGAAACTGGAAATTTAACGTGGCATCTCTTACCCACGTGAAATTCCGCAAATTTTCAACGTCTTCATGAAAGTTTTGGCGAGGAAAATCATTACCTTGGGAGTCAGTAGCATAAGGAGACTGGAAATTTTAGAATGTTTCCTGCCCAAGCAAGACTTTACAAACTCGAATTCAGTTCCTAAGTATGCCGAGATCTAACGTACGACCGCGTGAAAGTCTTGTTTCAAAGATCATTCGAGAGCCAGGAAATTAGGGGATTGAAATTTTAGGAGGATATTCACCCTTCGAGGTTTCAAATTCTGCTTTCACGTGCCGGTCCGTGAAATTTTCAACTATTTTCCAGCGTTTACTACTAAAGCATAAAGAGTGAAAATCATTAACGGGCAATCGTTCGTGTACGGAAGTGCACAAAACGCATGATCGCACCGGCTATTCTGGTGCGTGCTGTCATTTACTGATATTGATAATTGGGAGCGAGAAAGTTTTCCTTACTGAACGCACGAGGTGAACTGTTAACTCTGTTATGTTGGGCTTTGTTTGTGTATAGCTCTGTTTTTTTCCTGCACACTTAGGGATTAATAACTCAAATTTGAGGTCCGAAAAAAACTTCGTTTGTGTGGCGAAGTTATTCTGTGCCCGAAAAGCCAGCATCTGCTGCGCCCTATCAAGTGAGCGTAAGCAAAGAGTACTGTCGTGCGCCCGAACTATCAGCTGCATCCAATTAATGCAAATTTGGCTGCGTGACCTGGTGCCCTCTGAGCGGTGCAGTCTTCCACTGACTTTCATTTATTTGTTACCGGCCCAAAGATCAGAAGTTTTTGCGACCTCAGATCCGCCGAACAGCTTACAAAGCAGCGCGAATGTCTCCAGTTCCGGCTGCCACTCTATCTTTGCAATGTTGCCCAGCACTGAAGAAAACTACTTACTACACCTCTTACTACTGCATATCACTTCAATGGGCTATGGTTCCTTATGAGGATCGCCAGCAGCTGCGCCGAACAATAGTGCAGACGGAACGCACTACAGCTAGCATTCCTCATTGAATAAAGACGATTTTAAGCAATTTTGCAGAATTTGGCAAGCAAGACGCCCTCCTCCCCACCCCCAGCCCTCTCCCGCAGATTTCATGTCCAACAATAATCAGCTCCGGCAACTCTTCGGACACAGTAACCTTTCGAGCTGTTTTCTAGAAAGTGGACTTGGTGGTCAACGACTCCCGTATCCTCGTGCCAGCGCATTTTGTGATACTGTATGGTTTGGCTCATTGGCCAGATACTGCAAGTATTGTAAAAGGGATGCCTAGAGGTCTGCACTTATCGTTTTGGCATAGAACAAACTGTTGTGAAAATGCTGTGGTATTTGCAGGTGCCCCACGAAGCTGTCGCAGTACGGCTTCACACGGTGTTTCTTCAAGAACCCAAACTTAGGATGGAAGGGTGGCTGCTATCGTATCCGGGATGTGCCGCTGGATGACCGACTTGTCATGATGGATACGAATTTGTTCGAGGACTGCAAGTCCAAAGAATGCAACAAAAAAACTTTTATATTTTGAGCTTTGCGCGAACGAGCTGCGATAATAATAGAACCCAGTGTCTTTGTGAATATGCCATCATCTTTGTGCGTCTCAGATCTTCGAAGAATGGATAAATGAATTCTCAATATGGCTGATAAAGGATTTGTGGCGGAAATAGTTGTCTAAGTGAGAGCGCAGCGCTCGCAGGCGGCTCTGAGCAGATGTCAGTGGCCCCAAAACGATAAATGTGTCAAAAACTGTTACCTTTTGTTGCCAGCCAAATTCTGTCCCCATTTGTTTTTTGCGTAATTCTTGTAAATGAGAATTACATCCCCATTTCTTTTGAAACTGTTATTCAATAATTATTATAGACTTATAGGGTTGTAAAATTCAGATTCTGAGGTCAAGGCATCGTAAACCTCTCCCCTCACTCTCTTCACTTAATATCTGCGGCCCTGGCTCTAAAAGCCCATTTCCCCCTCAAATAATCTAATTCCCCTTTGTCCCCACTACTTGGGTGACCCCAGCTTCCCCCTCCCTCCCTCCAAAATAACTGGTAAACAAATTGGATCACTCCTTTAACCTAGGCTGGAACGCACTAGGCTCTCCGATGCGGTCATGTGTTTTTGCACTAAACTCGCAGATCGCTATTAGCAGGAATAATCTCCACGCTGCAGCCTAACACTTGGGCTAACATTGGCCGTGCTTTGATTCTTACCGGCATGCAGGAGGAAGGGCATCAGTTGGGATGAAGGTGGTGCATTATAGAGCCGCACGGATATCCAGCTGCATGATTACAGGTTTTTAGATGAAGTCCGGTCGTTTTTTCGGTAAATGCTCGCTTTGTGAAAAAATGACAAATGCAAATTTTTTG